GGTTTTAATGATTGTTCCTGCTTTCAAATGAATCCCTGTTTTAGTGACTATGGAAGAGTGCCAGTGAATTAGCAGTTTTTCAAAAGCCCATTAGAACAACTATACTCTATTAATACTGCAAAGCAGAACAAGAACAATAAAAAAACACATCAGAACAGTGATCAAAAAGGAAGAAAACTGACATTTAAAATTACAATAATATTGTTCTTTTTTTAACACAGTGTGTAGAAGGTCGCTGAAACCTTATGTGTAGCTTATAGGACAGGCTTAGTGCATGAACCACAAAAGAACGACAAAAAAACCCCAAAACAATAAAAACTTCTGCAGTTCAGTTTAAATGGATTAGACAACTGAACTCAAACCCAGAAAATACAAATTTTCATTATTTTAAATGGAATCCTTAAATGACATGGAATCAAATCAGAAACATACATTTTAAAGGTAAAATGGCCTGACAACCTACATGATTTTGAATAAGCATGCTGCCCAATCAACAGCTGCCTCTGTCATTTTTTCTCCAAAAACCACAAAGTCATCAACAGAGATATGATTTCTAACTAAACAGCACTTTAAAAAACTTCTCTTTTACAACCCCGACACATTTATCAGCACCCTTGTGACAGATGTGTAGGAAGTCCTTCAATAATGGCCTCTTTATCACGGTTGCATCGAACCTTTTAGTTGTTTTATTATTATTATTATTATTCAAGGTTGCACAAGACACAGAAGCAAAATCTGCCAAATTTCCCAATTCAGCTCAAATTGGTGATCAGCAGGTCCAATACTGAAATATATATATATATATATTTTTTTTTTTTTTTACTTAAATACATATAAGATGACAATATTTTAAGTTAAAAATAGTGTAAATTAGGAGTTTGGTAAGTTTGGAAATATGTTATTATATATCAATAGGTTATCCATCCCTCCACCCATTATCTGACACGCTTGTCCCAATTGGGGTCGCGTGGGGTCTCCAGCTATCAATTGGCGAGAGGCGAGGTCCACCTTGGACAGGTCGCCAGTCCATCGCAGGGCAACACAGAGACAAACAGGACAACCATTCATGCACACACTCACACCTAAGGAGAATTTAGAGAAGCCAATCAACCTAACAGTCATTTTTTTGGATTGTGGGAGGATGCCGGAGTACCTGGAGAGAACCCATGCATGCACAGGGAGAACATGCAAACTCCATGAAGAAAGACCCTGGGCCGGGAATCGAACCCAGAACCTTCTTGCAGCAGTGCTACCCATTGCGTCACTGAGCAGCCCTCAATAGGTTATCATTTTTTATTTTTTCTTCCTTTTCAGTTAGATTTAAAAGCAGCACTGCTATCAAAAAGCCTTTCAAATGTCAAAATCGAATCAGCAAACATCTGGTTCAATGGTCAGCCCTCCTAGAAAGCAGAACCTGCATTGGCCTTTTAAAGTCCCTGTTGTCAGTAGGTGAGCACTGTCTTCTGTAAAGTTTCACAAGATTTGAGAAAAAAGAGGAGTATGCCTCCTAATCGCATCCAAAAGGGTCTTCAGAACAAAAGGTGAGGACATGTTTTTTAGTGTTGATTTGTCTGTAGGGTTTAGATCACCGAAAGATCTGACGATGACCCATTTTCAGTGTACTGGTTGAGGAATCCAGCCTTTCATTTGAAAGCCTCTGGTGTTTGGAAGATATCAATACAGCATGCAGTCTAAAAAGGTTCCTGTGGCTTTTGGAAGAGAAACAGGCCCAAAGCACCACTTTTTTTCCCCACCGTATATTTAGCAATGGGCATGAGGTGGTTTTCATGAATTAAGTATTTATTTCTAAAAACAAAAAAAATAAAAAAAGATTCTTAATCTAACCAAAATACACAAGTCCAGTTAAAGCCTCAGAGGAGCTTCATAAAAGGAAAAGAAAACATGATGTAGGGAATATCAAAGGCTGTCAGGAAGACTTCATGAACACAAGATGGTTCAGTTTTTCTTTATTTACCTCCCTTTCCACCTTGCATACTTTAATTCACAGCAGATTAAACTTTGGTAGTCATAATGGTCATTAACTACTTATAAGATGTACTTACTAATTAGAAATCCTTAAAACTCTGATCAGCATAAAAAAAAGTTTAACATACAGTAAAATAAAAAATAATAAAATGCAGGTATATTCTATTTAATAGGAGTAGCAATAATTGTGCTATTTGCAATTCTTTCTTTACATGGTTAATCATTTTCATGCAACAAATGTATTTGAATAAAATATTTTATTAATTTATTCATTTGTTGTGAGAGTCACAATGAAAGGGGATTTTATTTTTAGCCTGTTTCACATCTTTAATAGGAGTGCTGATAAATGTGTTCATTGCACAAGTTTTTCACTCTCATTCTGTTCAGCGGCTGATTTCTGAACAGGCAAATAGAATATCTACCTAAAACAGACTTTAACAGCTGATAGTGTGCTTTTGGGAAGTCCTGATAGAGCCTTATAAATGTGACCAGAAGGAAGTCCAATTCACTTACCGATTCAAAGTGACCTCCCGGTCCGGGCGTTAAATACTTCTCACATTTAAGAACTTTAACAGCAAACTGTAGCTCTGCAGTCCCTGATCACACACCTTCATTGCACATGAATATTTTCTGTTCACTTTCATAAATAAAGCTATTTGAAGCACCAAATGTTCAATATGGCCTTAAAACCTCACCTACTGACTGAGTTTTTACGTTACTATTCTGAACTCAGAGTGACTGACTAACCCGCTACTGTGCTGACGTGTTTCCTTATACGATGAACACTGAGACTAGCAGCCATTCAGTGTCCTTCAGAAGGAGGCACCATGCTGTGTTAAGCTTTATTTCGCCCTTTAAGGTGATATTTGCTAAAAGTAAGGGAGACTTGGCTGGTTGTTTTTGCGGCAGCCCTCTGATCGGCAGGCGTTGCTCACTGAGAGCACATTAGCAGCAGAGTAGGACATGACTCAGCCAGTGTGTTCACATGCACAGGTTATTCTGGATGCCAGCTGTGGATTAAGAAAGCCCTAATGCCACTGCATTTTACCCTTGAAACACTTAGTTCAGAATCGAGGTACATTTGTTTTATTTGCTCTCTTGCCAAGAAATTAAGATAATAGGAACACCAGCGTGGCTTCAGCTCATTTTGTTTGTTCTTCAGAAAAACGAAAATTAACAATGACATTTTTTTATTAAAGGTTACATTATTGGGTAATACATTTCAGAAATTCTTGTCAAATTAGATTTTAATAATTTTCCACTGATTCACAATATATGACCAAGGAAGAAATGTACCTACAGGGCCTGGTATGTAGGCGGAGCTTTTACGCTTATTAGGATCTTCTGTTTGAAGTTTAATGGAGGGCAAGTGCTAATCAATTTAAGCTGGGACATTCATTTAGATTTTCCTCATATTTAAAAAAAATCTTAGGGTCATACATTCTGTTAAAGGTATAGTGGAGGATTTTCATAAATTTTTTTTTTTTTAAAGACTCGCTCGCTCCACTTTAAAGCAAAAGAAAATGTACATGCACAACCCTGTACCCGCTACCGAGAGGGAACGCCTATTACACGTGTTTGAGAGCGTGCACGAGCCCATTTCTCCTCGTGCACGCTCTGTTTAAAAGTTCCTGTTTGCATCGCACATACAAGCTTACTTTCCGAAAGAAGGTTTGCAATTTTTCCGCTATGTCAGATTCACCACCGGTAAGTGAAAATGGGGACGAGCATTTAGGACGGCCTGACGTAAACATATCACCAGAATAATTTACAATTAGGAGGACCACTGATTTTGATGATCGATGCGGAAAAAGAACATCCTCCATTATACCTTTAACTGCCATAGATTTATAGCCATCTGTAGTGAAGGACGGAATAAAATCCTTAGTCAAAGTTGAACTTAGAGGTTTAAAGGGTCCATGTTTTAAAGCAGCGGTCCCCAACCACCGGGCCGCGGACCGGTACCGGTCCGTCAGTCATTTGGTACCAGGCCACACAGAAAAAAAAAATATATGTATATAATTTATTGACGATCAGAGTCTGAGTGATGTTTTATTTTGAAAAATATAAAAAATTAGGTTATTCTCTCCCAGTTACATCAGTCGGTGCATCTGTGCCTCTTGACACAGGTTAATTCAGTTCAAGACTCATCCTATCTATAACATCCTATCTTTGTGAAGCGGGATTTTCTGCGGTTACACCAAAAGAAAGCTACGGAGCAGACTAGACATCAGGAGCACACTTCGTGTGTCATTGCCTCTGATTACGCCTAGATGGGACTGGCTTGTTTCGGAGAATGGTGAGCTTTATTTTTATGCTGTTTGTATTTGATTTTTATGCCAGTCGTATCATTTTATTTGATCGTATTTAACCCCCACTCTTTAAAGGCCGGTCCGCGAAAATATTGCCTGACATATAACCGGTCTGTGGCGTAAGAAAGGTTGGGGACCGCTGTTTTAAAGTACAATCCCTGGGGAAGATTTTAAAGCAATGAGGTACTGCTGCTGCCTCTTCAGGATTAATCTCTCAGGCTTTATTAGGTATTTGTATAGATAACAAACTTACTTTGACTTTGTAGCAATTATAAATCTGCTTCACACTGTATACACTATAAAATTAATACTAGTTTATTGCTAGAACATAGTCTCATCCACCTCCTCTATTCTATTCTGTGACCTAAAAAAACTAGCCTGACGTTGTGGGCGGGACTAAGTTCGGAATGGCACCCAGGCTATAAAAAAACAGGAATACGGACAACAATGTCTGCATATTCCTTTAAGATGTTTCAAACCTTTTTAGTCTTTGCAGTGCCCCATTTAAGGTTTGCAGTGGAAAAGCTGTGAGAGATTTAAAATTATGGTGTTATTGCTGATGATCACAGTTTTTATTTTCTCAACAGGAGTCTGTCTCATGCACTCAGCTGCTGACATGACAGTAAACCTAGGTCTGTTGGAGGAGTTACCATTTCACCACCAGGCCCTGTCTAAGACTCCACAGTCAGAACACTCATCAAAAATTGCAAAGATAAATGAAAGCTCCTGGTTTTAATTATTTTAAATGGCCTTTAGACGTAAACCGTGAGAGAATTTCAGTGCTCAGGGGCAGATTCTGCTGGTGTGGGTAGCAGAGGTTTGCTTATTCCTCTGGTCGGCCCCTTCTATGGCATCAATCATGACAGTAAAACAAATTATCAAAAAAAAAAAAAAAATTAATAAATAAAACCTGAACTTTTTCTTACAAAAACTTTAGCTCCAGAATTTTGCTGTGCAAGTAAACACACCTAGCATGAATTTGGAGGACACCTCTGACACCACAGCTGTCTTCATACACCAACAAAGACCTGGCATATTACGCACCGTACAGTACTGAAACCCATGACATGAGTGAAACATCATGCAAAACCTAAATAGGAAAAAAAACCCCACAGAAAATAAATGGAAACCCCTCAAAAAGCCATGAGAAAGAACAGGTGGTATCAGGACGTCTCCTTCGGCTCCGTGTGTTTACTGCAGGTTATGTACGGGACGACCTGCTGGAATGGGAGAAGAAGCACAGCAAGCCATTCCCTTGCAGTCATGAGGGGGGGGGAGTTCATGTAATTTTACAGCAGTTTCTTTACAGGACAACATACACACTTGCTAATTTAATTTTTTTTTTTCACATGGTGAAATCCTTTTTAGATTAGATGCATGCATTACTCTACGTGCTAATGCCAGGGGCTTCCTGCTGATGCCGAGTCCTCCCAGTTGATGACTGGATGTCCTTGCAGGCTGGGATAGAGATCTCTTCCCCTCAGTGCTTTTGTACTCTCATTGTGCCTGGATGCACAAACAGAGAGAGTGTATTTAGTGCTGCTGAGAGACCTAAAGAGACCAACCAAATGAATAAAAAAATCTGTCTCAAAAGCAATGTGCTGCAATGTACTGCTAATTTTGGACCGAGTGAGGTAGCAGTTTGCCATTTAATAGAGTCTGGTATATTATTAACTGTTATTGGTGCCATGCGGATATCTAAGAGCAGCCAGAGTGCTTCCAGGCCGCATGACTAAAGCAACAACACAGTCATTAGTGGAAGCAGATGTTTGTTTGTACCAGGAAGTGCTTACACTTTAGTTTTTTAATATTTAATGCTCTTGACAATAAACTCAAGAACATGTGTTAAGTGTGATTACTGAAATGTAAATAATATACTCAAGAGTCCTGTAAACCTATTACCAAAGCTTACCTGCCCTTTTTTCTGTCATAATTTAGCAAAACAACTAATTTAACTGGTCTCTTCATTTTATTTGATTCATTTACCAGTACAAATGGAATCCTGTGTAGATAGCTGAATTAATTCATCAAAGGGAAAATGATCAGTTCATTATTTTATTCCCTTATGTGCATATCTGCACCTTGAAAATGAACTTAACATTTACTTACATTATAACCCAAATCCAATGTGTTTTATTGAGATTTTAGGTCTTTAACTGCAGTCCTCTAGGTCTGGTTTCCTGCACCTTTTAGGTGTCTTTGTTTCTACAAAACTAAACCAAATGGCTGAATTTCCTGCTCAATATGCACTTCAGTTCTCCAGAGCCCTTGGAAATTTAAGTTAGGTGTGTTGAAGCTGAGAAACATCTAAAAAGGTGCAGGACACCATTTCTGGACCTCGAAGATCAGAAATGAAGACCCCTGCAGTAGACCAACACAAAGTGGCACATAACTGCAAAGTGAAAGGAATATAATATGTGGTTCTAAAAAAATAAATTTAACAGAAAATGTCACATAAAGTGTGGAATGTTTTTTAAGACACAGCAGAGGTTTGTTAGCAAGCGTAAGCGACCAAGGAGCATGACGAAGATCAATGAGAAAAACTGTGGAAAAAATTATTTTGTTTACTTTTTCCTTTATTTTTCCTTCCTTCCTTCCTTCCTTCCTTCCTTCCTTCCTTCCTTCCTTCCTTCCTTCCTTCCTTCTGGCCATTTTGTCATTAGGGGAAAGTGTGTCTTTATTCATTGTATTAACAGATGTTGACATATATTATTCATTGGTAATAATATGTGATTTCTTTTGTGTAGGGGCCTGTATTTATGTTGGTGTTTTTGAAAAGGCCTGAGTTTGCGTGGCGGACATGGTTTGCATAACATCCTGTGTTTGAGTAAAGGCAGAGGGGCCTGTCAGTGTGCTGTTTTCTGTCTTTATCGGGACCTCTAACTGTGTTCAATCATCTGTTTGTGTAAAGCTCTTTTTTCCTGGGTTCCTATGTTTGCATAGATCTATCTGCTTGTGTGGGGGCCTCTGTTTGCCAGCAGGCACCTGGTTATATGAAGTGTTTAAGGTGGCTGATTTTTCCAACTCAAGGCTGAACTTCTCAGTAAAATCTGTAACAGACTCTCCAGAGATTTCATTGCTTCCTCTTGTTCCTTGAAAGTAAAGGCTTGTTAAATGTCCCTGTTCAATCGCTCCTTATATCTGAGTCTTAGATTGTATTCTTCAAAGATTCTGTCAACTTCCAGATGCTCGACCCTCCACTGAATGGGGGATGAGTCAAAGACAGAAAGGGGAGTTGTTTCTTGATCACCTTCCATTGACATAGGAATTTTTAGTTCACTAGAGGAAGTAGATCCCCCCTTGGTCCCCTTACTTGAGTTATTAGACCATAAATAAAACAAACATATCTGGCAAAAAAAAAAGAGTTATAAGCAGATTTAAATTTGATTTTGGGTGTTTGGCAAGAACCTTCTATGTTAAACCTTGAATGCATTCACTGAGTGTCCAAGAAACCATGTTGAGCGGATGGTGTTACGTTATCTTGTTTAACTTGTTTAACCTGAAGCCACATTGTAGATTAAAGGAGGTTGAATCCAACTACAAAGATATGTTTTTGCAAAAAACTGGAAAGGTTCTGTACATTTATTCCAATTTTTATTAAAAAAAAATCCCACTTTGTGTTTTTAATCTCATTAAAAAAAGTAAAGATTGTGGTTTTAAAGTGACAAAACATTAAAAAAAGTTTACTGAGTATGAGGACATTTGCAAGGCACCCGCAGAGGGAATATTACTGGAGTCTCTTAGTTTTTACTCTGCTTTAACCGACATAAAGACACAAAAATGTTGGGTGCGTTTATGTCCTGGCCATTTCTGATAAAAACGAACTTGTGTTAAATGTGACGTATAATACGACTGTCCCCGAATGCATCAATAGAATACTAATAGATCATCAAGTACCTGGACCCACCTCTGTCTCCACCATTTCTCATGTTGGTGTCATCGTCCTCTGCTCCGTCATCCACTTAAAACAACAAACGAAACAGAATTCAACATTTTTGATGCAGGGATTTCTGCTATTAAAGCTTAGATTGAGCAGAACTGACGACTCCTTTAACACAGGTTAAAGACTGACCTGAGTGGAGCTCTTTCACCAGGGATGACATGGTGTTTGTGATTGAGTCAGCAGCAACTAAAAGATCATTTCGAAGGTTTCTGGGTACACCTGAGGACCAGGAAAATAGGCTTTTATAAGTCTTGGAGTTCTTTTTGTTGCATCAACAAAGGGAATGTTGCATTTGAGTACAAATTCATCCCGATTGGCAACAGTTTAAACAAAAGCTCCTTTTCTTTGGCTGGGGGTTCAGACTCACCCTGAGCAAAGGCCTCCAGTACGTCTCCTCCCACACCTGCCAGGCAGTCCTGGGGTGTGTGTGTCGGAGTGGAACCGGCCGAGGTGGAGCGAATGGGCATGGGCATGGAGCAGCCGGCACCGTGGCTGGGAGAGGAATGAGGGGAGCCTCCAGACTGGGACTGCAAATCAATAAAATAAGTCAGAAATGCTTAATTTTACTTAATCATTCAAGCAGTCCACTTATCCCCTGCCTTTTTAACTTATTAAATTACATTAAATTAAAAAGACAGATAACAAGTAAACAGGCCGATAGGTCCTGCACAGAATATACATCTGTTAAAATAAATAAAATAAATACCAAACAATGAATGTTAGTATTACTTCTTTTATTAAAAATAAAACATTTTTCCTGAAATGCAAACGTTGTTATATCTTAAATGTAAATGTTTTTGTATATTTAATTACTATAACTATTTACTAAATTTTAGCTGATCAAAAGTTCACTTTGTCTAAATTCATAGCCTTACAATCCGCCTGCTGTTTCAGTGACAATGATGTCATGACCGCAGTTAAGCAAAAGCACAAAAATGAATAACTTAGACTTCTCCTCACATGTTTTTGCTTTAAGCCATTATCTCACAACCAGTCCTTACAGACAGCCTCATACTGAGAGAATAAGGCTACTGTTTTAAATGGCAGACTAGATCCTTTAAAAGACTTAAACAGCAGCAGCTGACTTAATATATGCTTCTTTTTAGGTGTTTCAAAATCATTTTCCATGATTTCTGTGTGGCCGGTTGTCAAGTTAAATAAAAAAATGTGCTTCAAAGAAGTTCAAGTATACAAAGGTGAATAACACTTAAAAATATCTTATCGAAGTAAATCCTGTTGGTTAGTGTATCAATAAAGCCAACAATAAGATACTTATTCATGTACATTAAATGATTTTTTGGGGGTATGCACAGAATGTGGCTTTTAAAATAATAACAGCATAAAGAATAAATTTTGCATTTTGCTCCTTAACATGATGATGGGCTTTGAAATATGTGCTTATAACAAGAAGGATGACCTCTCTGAGTGTTTCACTTCATTATATTTAAACATCTGAAATAAAACTCAACCCAATGTCTCCCTTACATCAGAGGTTCCCAAACTTTTTTGCTTCTGACCCATGAAAATAGAACCAGAGTGGTCTCAGGGCCCAAACTATGGGTTAAGTACCGGTATACATGCTTTTTTTAAAAACCCAACATAAATTAACTATACAAATGTGCCATCTTTCAGGTTAAAGTTATATATATTTAAGTACTTGAACATAATTGTTTATGTTTGGTTAAATTTCTGCAGTGGGTGTGAAAATCCCATACTGGTTGATCAAAAATCCCAGGTGGGGTCACAACCTAAACTTTAGGAATCAATGCCTTCCAATTTAAGACAGCATCAGACACATGGTTATAACTAATCAACAATACAAAATATGTACACCATTAGATACTGTAAATATATCTCCAGTTTAGCAAGAATGGTGCTGATTCTTTTAGACAAACCCAAGAACTTTGTGGCTTGTTTCACAGCTTGAATGCTGCAGAGGGGCATCAGCGATACAGAACACACACGAGAACAGGTTTAAGGCTTCAGCAATGACTGAACGGTTGTAGTATTTGCATTTTATACCATGCAATACAAAAGGAAAATCACTCAAATATGACTGGCTTCAATCAAAAAGTGAGTCAATCTGAGCCGTTTCCTGAAAATTTAGAAGATATTTCTCCTGGCTTCTTAGGAACACATGTACGATGAAGATTTTAGGCCATAAAACGACAATGTTTGTTTTTCTTCCAAGAAGGAAGATAAAATATTATAAATATAATGACATAATATTTAGAAAACGAAGTTACAATATTACAAGAATAAACCCTTAAATAAAAGTAAAGTAAATAAAAGTTATATTAATCAATAGGAAGATATGCTACGTTTTTTTCAGTTGAAGCCAAACCAAAAACATCTAAAGACAGAATTTGTTTGACCAAAGTAAAAGTGTTTAACAATTAGCGCACTGCTACAGTTAATACAGCTAGAAACCACCAATTAAGCTGGAAATTTGGATACAGTGATGCACTCAGACCTGAGCCTTCAGAGGCACATAAAAACAGTAACAAAGTCGGCCTTCTTTCACCTAAAGAAAATCTCCAGGGTTTAAGGATTAAAGTCTCAGCGGGACCTTGAAAAACAAACCCATGCATCAATATTTAGTAAAAAGTATAGAATTCTATTCTGTTCTATTCTATAATATAGAACAGAATAGAATAAATCCAATAAATCCTTTTATTGTCCCACATGGGGAAATTCTGGTGTTTTCAACTCTACAGTGTCGTCAGAGTTCTGAATAAAAAGTTTATCAGACAGCCGGGTTGATCCAGAACGCTGCTGCCTGCGTCCTCACTAAAACTAAGAAAGTAGAGCAAATCAACCCAGTTCTAAAATTGTTGCATTGGCTGCCTATTCTTTAGAGAATAAGCTTTAAAATCCTTCTGTGATATAAATCACTGAAAGGATTATCTCCAAAATACATTTAAGTGTAATTGTCAGTGTATCGGCCACCCAGATCTCTTAGGTCCTCTTCATTCAACATATTCTCATTATCAGTGCGTATGAAATCGTACGAAAAGTTATGCACACTATTTCGTACGTTTTGGACGTTTTTCCTCAAAAAACCACATCAGTGCGCTTGCGCTGGCAGACAGAAAAAAAAAAGCAGATCCACGGACGGACGGAAAACTGGGAAAAACGGTGCAATCATCACTTATTCATGTCTCTAACTACGTTTCTTGCTGTTTTATATCTTAGGGTTAGGGTCAGGGTTAGGGCTAATTGTAATTTATATTCTATATTCGTCAATGGTGCGTCAGATGCGCATACGACGAAAAAAACGTCCAAAACGTACGAAATTACGCTGCATAACTTTTCGTACGATTTCATACGCACTCATAATGAGAATAGGTTGCTTCATTCCCAGAACCAGAACCAAACATGGAGAAGCAGCCGTTAGTGCCTATGCTCCACTAATCTGCACAAACTGCCAGAAAACTATAAAAACTATAAAATAAATGAAAAATAAATACATTTTTTGATTAGAGTGGCCTTCAGCTGTGCTATATAAACATAGTTAGTTAAGTTTGCAGTCCAGCTTCCCTTTGATTTTCTTAAAAATTATTTTTTTCATCACTCTTTTATATTCATATCTAGGGTACGTATACCTCGCCTCTCACCCATAGACTGCCAGAGAGAGGCACCGGCCCCCCCAACCCTGATGAAACAAACAGGAGAAGATAAATGGTTGGATTTTTATTCTCTTTAACTATTTGTGTTCATTAACTACTTAATTACCCTTATCCCGCTGCAATTTACTTTTCCTAATATGTTTCTTATCATTGTTATTCACAGCACTTTGAGTTGTTTGCAATGGAAGTTTGTTATATAAATAAACCTTTCTTGCCTTTAATGAGAAGACATTTTATATAGTTTCACATGATTAGATTAAACATCCGGCGTCCTCAGTCTTCACCAGGTGGAAAACTGCTCTTACTTGTAAGACCTCCCAAGGGAGTATTGATTTATTTTAGTAATATAAGGTTTATTTATCAGTCTTATTAATTCTTTAATCTGCTAACATTAATGCTTCACTATTTTAATATTGTGACTTTATTCTTGTAAAATTACTACTTTATTGTCAGGACACTAAGACTTAATTCACGCAATGTTTCGACTTTATTCTCCTAATATCATGACTTGTCGAATATGATTTAAATATATTATTGTCAATATAACAATATTACTTCTTTTTATTAAAAGTTATCTTTATGTTCACAATGTCACAACTTTAATCTCCTAATCTAATGACTTTCCTTGCAATGGTATGGTTGGATTCTTTGAATATGTTAATTGTTGTAATGTTACAATTTTGTTGTTGTAGATAAATTATTTCCCTTTGTAGTTAATAAAGTATTTTTTTTTTTATTGTCATAAAAGTACTAACTTAATCTGTTGGAGCTAATATTATGACAGTATTCCTTTGATATTATGACTTTGAAAGTTTATCTGAATGCGCTGTTTTACTTTTGGACATTGTAAAGGAAATTAATTATTCAGCCCAAGATGGTCACACAATAAATAGTTATGGTAAAAAACATGATGATAACATAATGCAGTGAATGAACTCAGTATTTCCTGATGCAGTTAGACAAGGTAAATGGTTTGTCCAAGCTCACACAGAATACTTCATGTTCGAAGAAACTTCACATTCAGGAAAAAAAAAAGAATAACTGGTTCCCAATTTTGTGTTAATGCTACCGTACTTTTCAGACTATACTGCGCACTTCACTAAAAGCTGCACCCACAAATAATTTTTTTTTTTTTTTTTATTGGAAACGTACATTTATAAGCCTCATCAGGCTATAAGTCGCTAATATCTACTGAACTGTCCCGTACCAAACCTGTAAGGCGAGCTCTACATATCACCCTTAGATTAGGGACAAAGAAGAATGCTGTAAGAGCTTCTACAGTAAAGATTAGGTTTAGCTCTTAATTTCAGCTCTGCAGGAGTTGGGCA